TATTATTAATAATAATAACGATAACAACAGTAATAGCTGTAGGACACTGTGCCTGTGATCGGAAGGTTGCCAGTTCAAATCCCAGACTTGCCAGAGTGATTTCACAGTGGGACCTCTGGCAAGGCCTCTAACTCTAAGTAATTGCCCCAGGGACTTGTTGGACTCAAAAAATGTTGAAAAATGCAGCTAAAAAGTGTCTGCTATAAGTGTAGATAAAAGTGTCTGATAAATAAATAAGATGTAAATTACTATTATTGTGTTATTATTATTCTATGGTGCCATGGTGACGAAAAGGATGAGATTGAGGATCCATACAAGCGGCAGAAATGAATTTCCTTTGCAGGGTGTCAGGGGCTAGAACTTAGATACAGGGTGAGGAGCTTGGACATTCGGGAGGGACTCAATGTAGAGCTGCTTCTCCTCCACATTGAGAGTAGCCAGTTGAGGTGGCTTGGGCATCTATCTCGGATGCCGCCTCCTGGGTGGCTCCCTGGGGAGGTGTTTGGGGCACATCCACCCCGGAGGAGACCCCAGGGCAGACATAGGACACGCTTGAGCGATTATGTCTCTTGACTGGTCTGGGAACACCTTGGTATTCCCCTGGAGGCACCAGAGGAGGTGGCTGCTGAGAGCGAGGTCTGGGCATCCCTGTTCAGTCTGCTACCCCTGCAACCTGGACCCAGATGAGCAGAAGTTGGATGGATGGATGGATGGATGAATGGATGGATGGATGAATGGATCACCAGGTGGCCCCTCGCCACAGGGTCTAGGATTCACTTCTATGTGTGGGTGCACTTTGCATATCCCCTGTCCCTCCCTCTGCTTCCATCATTGGTTCAGCATATATGAAAGATAGATGAACAGATAGATTATAGCTACTTTAGCAGAAGTATAGCTAAATAGATAGAACATTCAATGGGACAAAGTTTCACAATGCTGGAACTTGGACGACAGTTTACTTTATTTATGGTGTAGAACATCTTGCTTTACAGTTTGCATAAATATGCTACATGTCTGCATGAATATTTATATGTTAGGCTTCAAATGAATCATTGTCTAAGCCTTGATCTGGATCCATCTTTGCTGCCGCTGATACTGACTTACCAGCAGGTGCCGTGGGGGACAAATGTAATTATATTTATAATTCAGAGCTTAGCACCTGTTGATAACGTTACTGTATCCATGGCAGTTAATATAACCAAATTGGGGACTGATTAATTAAACAGCCTGAGTAATTAAATACATGTGACTATATTAATCACTAAATCTGATCTGTCATCTCCTGTTAAGTTGAATTAGAACATTATAAATTACATATCCAAGATGTAACTGAAAAAAATCCTACTTGGTCTGATGATTCATTCTTTGTGTTAATTACATTTTATTCTATGCACTTAATGTATCCACTAGCTTAATGTATGTCAATGATTTTATTTTTTTCAGTTTCACCATGGATTCATCTATATCAG